ATAAACTCGAATTTTTTTTTTTTTTTTCGACAGCTATTACTTTCTTAAATTATTATTAAATTATTATTAGATGTTTAGTAATGTCTTTCATTTGCTCTTTTTTTCTTAGAATAAAAAGTTTTTTTTATGGTCCGTCTTAATTTAATGTAGGTAGTATATAAAAATTAAGAATATGTTTTACAATTTCAATACATCTTAAATATTTAATTTTATTTTCAAACATCCATTTTTTCTTATGTTAATATAATTCTTTTTAAATGCGAAGTTTATGATATATCGCTTCTCCAACACATCTTGTGTTATTTAAACAATTTTTCAAATATTACGCGAATATGGCAATCTTCTAGAAAAATTTCCGCGAAAATTATTGAAAAATCGCGAAAAATTTCGCTGAAACTGAACGTGATACTTTATTTTTATACTCGATTATCCGAGCGCACTTACACGAATGAAAGTATTCTGTAAGATTAGGTTCTTGGAAATCCGTTCACTTCATATGTGACGCGACTAAATATTTAATACACGAACATGTTACCCTCCTTCTAAGAGTATACCTATCTAGAAAAGAGAGAGAGAGAGAGAGAGGTGAGCACACATATTCATCAATGAGTACTTCATCATCGACTTCTTTCCAGTAGTATGTAGCATGCGCACGCACGCCGATCTCGGGCAACGGGAACAGGCTATGCTTGCTCGCGTATGCGTGCCTTTGAAATAACTGGGATTCCATTGCGAAAGTGTATGCGTATACGGCGACAACCTGTTCGGAGATAGAACGAAGTAAACGGTTTGCTGCGTGGTCGTTCTCTTAGCCGTTCGTTCCTTGTCGTCGTCGTCATCGTATTTTATCGATTTAATTTTTATGGAGAAGCATGATCCGTTCTGTTCACGCGAATTTCACGGTACGAAACTCATTCTCTCCCGCATGATAGATTGGCAGAGCAAATTGTGAATTAAAAATCGTACGACATACCGAAAAAAAAAAAAAAAAAAAATTACGAGCATTTTAATTATTTATCTTGATTTTATTACGATTAATCAATTATCTCGATCAATAACGTCGGGTCAATTACTTGATTAATTGTGAAATATGTATTTTTTATTTAAAATGAACTCGTGGATATATCGGATCTTTCGTATCGGGAATTTTTTTATCTCTTCGTATCAGGAATTTAATTATCGCGCGCGCGCGCGCGAATTTCTGAAAAAAATTGTCAACAAACTTACAAAAACAACGGCAACTACATATTACACACGACGAAGACACATACTACTCGAACATTTATTAGCCCTTTCTTTGTCTTTAAGAATTCGATTTTTCTAGATGTTAGAGGGAAAGAGAATTAGGTCGCTATAAAAAATTATTTCAATTACGATAATATTTATTTTGATTATATATGATTACGTTGGAATTGCGTAAGTCACGTAATACCATTTAAAATATCACATAAAATTCAATCCGGTTTATATGGAATTCACTTTGTATTTACAGATTGCAAGTCTCTCCGAGCATGAAAATTATATTTGCGCAAAATTCGTTTAAACAGCAATTTGCTCCAAAATGCAAGATCTATTCGCGTGAAAACCGTATTTGCATCGTAAAATTTATATACCGATATGTATGTAATAACTTGTATTTATATATATTTGTAAGTGTATTTCAACGCAATATTTAATTTAAATCTACATATATATTCCATAGACGCTATCAATCATTCTCAATTAGCTTTAATCGTGCTAAACGATTGAGGACTGAAAGAGTAACAACAAAAACAGGAAATTGCGTATTTCATTCACACGTTTCCAATAAAGATGACTTTAAATAAATGTTTAAAAAACCTGTGTGTATAATATACTAACGATAAGAACATTTAACTCAAATTTTCCAAAGAATTTATATTTCTTAATTTCACTTTTGGATCATTTTAATTTTGTAAATCGATCTTGAAATATTAATTGTCCATTAATTGACAATATGAATGAGAGAATCTCTTACCGCGAGATATTTTTTTTTTTTTTTTTTTTAATTTACAAGAAATTACGCGCTAACAGGATTTTCTGTGAAGTATGTTGACGAAATTTCAAATTTAGAATGCGAAACATAGGACTTCCCGATCTATTTAGCTTCAAAACTTAAACGACGTTGAGTCACAAATAAGAAAATAAGATCTTTGACAGTTCTTTAAATACGTCTGATATAGCTTGACCTACTTTCTATCAACTACGCGAGAGACTTGAGAACAGAATGATTTTACAAAATAGCTTCTATATTCGATTATATCTCACGAAACAAAACAAATATCAAGATATCGAATAGTGAATCAATTTATCCAGCTATTAATCTGTCGTCGTACGATTTTGTCACATTTACTTGTTTGCATTCCTCGTCTTACATGTATTGCTTTCGCAAATGATTCCAATGAACACACGAGATAATTCTAGAAGAGGGACTGAGAGAGGGGATCCAAAAATTTCGATTTTGTATACTCGATCACATCTGGCAAGGCCAAAAAAGAATTTATCAAGATATCGATTCTGAAATAAACTTGTTTGATAGTTCGCTGTCAAAAGAGATTTTCTCACACGTATACGTCACAGGCGTGGTTCAATGTCGACGTATCATCTTTCATTCATAATTGCCTTAGCAAGAAAGGAAGATTGAAAAACAACGCGGATTTCGCACGCACATTTGAGTCGCTTTTTTTGCAAGCACTCCTTAATATTAAATCGTAACATCATACAATACAAATCGAACATTTAAAAAATTTTCTTTTTCCAATTCACGGAAGTAGTAGTCACGCGACAAATGTCAAAAGCTAATAGCAAAATGCGCATAACAAGCTAATAATAAAAGAGACCATAATACTTACGGATGTTGTGCCTTGGATGCCGCTAATTATCCTTTTAACGATAATTAGAGAATTTTGAAATTAGTTTAATCATACTTTTTAATCCCTGACTGTTTGTAGTATAATTAACTAAATGCTACGCGCAGTATCATTAAGTCTTTATCCAGAAAAGTGTATATTTATTTGTGCAGATTTTTTTCTCTGCAAGTATCTTTGTTTCTTTATTCTTTATATTTTGTACATTATTATATGACCCTTAATTAAAAAGAGTTTTTAATAAAATTAATGCAAAAATAACAAAAATATGTAATTTATATGGAAATAATTCTAAGAATTATTAAACATATAAAAATTTAAAAGTTTTATTTATTTTGCAATAGGTGAAAAGAAGTTAAAGATTCTGGAAAAAAATACGATTAAAAAAGACTACAAACGAATTATCATATTGAAGAATATTATACAGGGTGAGGCATTTATAGTGACGCGGGCATATTTTTCGGAAACGAAGTGAGATATCAAAAAATATTTCAGACAAAAGTTGCATGGTTTTGAGGGGGCCACATGAGATGAAATAGATATTTTGCAATAGATGAAAAGAAGTTAAAGATTCTGGGAAAAAAATATGACTATAAAAGACTAGAAACGAATTATCATATTGAAGAATACTATATGTTACATTAGAATTACTACAATATATAAAATTTCAAGTTTTACAATAGATGAAAAGAATTTAAAGATTCCGGGAAAGGAGAAAAATACAAGCAAAAAGACTACAAAACAAATTATAAAATTGAAGAATATTATATGTTACATTATAATGCCGGTAATGAATCACCTTGAAAACATGCCTGTATTTTTTCTTGTTTCGTTTTCGTAGTGATCTATCGGGGCTATCGGCATGGCAAGTAATGTGGGACAAGGCAGTGACAGTGCTCTAGTGTTGATTATATTATCGATACGCCATCGACATCGGCCAGTCCCACTTTTAGCCAGAGGAAAGACATCGTATCTACGACCCACACGTAAGTATCCACGAACATTTACACCCGCTCTTTTATGGTTGTAAACCTTTTCGTAAACTCAATGAGCCGCACCGCCCCTTTGAAGACGCGCGTCTTGATTATCTCTTGACTTGTTAAAGAGAGGAAAGAGAACCAGAGAGAAGAGAGAATTAATATAGAATACTTCCGAAACTATTTGGATATCGCACAGAATAAGACTCTCGATAAATGTTAAAAGAGAAAAGACACGATTGTTTTAATGTCAATGTAGTTTTTAAATTTTTGGAGTAAATTAACATATCGTTATTTTTTATTCGACTAAAAATTGACCATTTAACTAAGATGGTTAATGTTGAAAGTTAATGTCGAATCAAATCTTTATCGCTACGTCGAGTTTATTGGACACATCATGGGACATTTCGTTCAATACTTCGTGACGTAGTCGATACGCACTTATTGTTAGAGTTCCAGACGTGTCAAGTGTGCTGAGACTTCATTCGCAACTATACGAGACTTCATTCGCTGCTTCTTTGACCGCGCTTCACATGTATAACATGTCTTTAATAAAAATATCCAGGTATAATAATTGGAGAGGAGGCAGAGAGGAGCTAATATTCGATTACCGGTTTGCGAATGCCGGAGGATCACGTTTTGTATGCAAACATGCCATCCGTGCTATTCTCGCACGCTGTTTTAAAAGCAAACAATTTACTTTGTGAACGCCTGCGCGTAAAAAAAATATCGCATTTTATGTCTCATAACTTTGATAAAAAAAAAAAAAAAAAAAAAAAAAAAAAAAAAAAAAAAAAAAAAACTCCTTTGATTTCACGCAAAATATACATATGGTGGTTTTATATTTTTTATTTTAAAACATGCTATTATTAATTTCTTAATAGTTCGGTGACTTTTCAATCACTTAAATACTCGACATTTTTGAAATACTTTGGTTTTCTCGAGATACAAGATCGATTACGAGGTTTGTTATTAATCGACTATCAAATAAGAAACTTTTAGAAGCCATCGCGAAATGAAATTTCTTCAGGGCTCTCAAAACTCTATTGCTATCATGGCCAACTGATCGGCCGCGGGCGATTCGCGGTATCTCGATTATAGCGAGCCTCAAAGCTCTTAAAGTAAAGCACGATCTGACAAAAATATCTGAAGAATGCAGTCTTGTTACATGTTTGTAGAGAGTTCCGGGGATTATTTTGTAAAAAGTTTTAATTTTTTTCCCCAGCTTGAAAGAATGTATGTGTCATATGTTAAAACATTGACAAAAGCATGAAAATTTTGTAGACGGCTCTACTATTTCTTCTGAATATCTATGCAAAACCTGAGCACAATTCTCTTAATGGTTTGGAAATTATTTAAATTCAAAGTTAGTATTGATTCTTATGGAAATATTATTGTAGCACTTATTGACAAATTTGAAAAGGAAAAAACATTGCCAACGAAATAAAAATTTTCACATATAGTAAGAAAACTAATAAATATTTGTGCAAAACTTGATTTAGATCCATTTATTCGTTTAAAAGTTATATTTACTAAAAATTGTAGAAAAATATTATCTGTCTCTCTTTCTGCAAATTACTCCTTTTTTTTTTTTGTTTTTTGCAGTTGATTTCAGGGGATATTCACGATCAAAAGTTTTTGTCATAAATTAGGAAAAATATTAATTACAACTAAGATTTTCTTTTACGAAGACGTTAAAAACCATATTATTTTGTGATATTTTAATTCCTTTTATAATCTGGATTTATTTATTTGATTTTTCAAACAGTATAAACATAAGAAATTTTTTTTTTTTTTTTTTTTAAATTTTATTTTCATAGTTTTTTGTTACTATTGTACAGCCAAAACATCCTTAAAATTACCGATATTGCGTTGATTTTTCTGAAAAATCGATCGAATAAGAAAATTATCATTATGGTTCGACAATCTGTCAAACAGCCGATGAGCACTCTAAATTTATTGATATACGACTGGTATAATATCATCATAAGCGGAAATCGGTGTACAGGGCGAGGTACAGGAATTGATGAAGACTCAGGTGGACAAAAAAAACTGAAAAATCGATGGCATATAATTCGGTGTCCCCTCGAAAGGACCATGTAATGATCACCTTGACACGTAGAGTATACTTCATAAAGTAGAAAGTATGGATTATATCAGCGACACTGACGTTTACCTGTTTGTCTCCGCATTAAACGGAGATGTTTACGCCAAATTACTGTAATCTTCTCATTATTTCTTAATTTCTCAGCGATTTCGATCTTCCGTCCGTGGAGCGTTCCTCCGTAGAGCACGCGCTCAAAGGACAGTCAAGTTATTCGCCGAAGAAAAACACATTAACGCGTTTAACGGTAGACGCGAAACAGGAAACATTTCCATTCAGCAAGACCGCGTTATCTATTATTTGCACAAAAAAAACTCGTTATTTACCGTGGAGTCTCTCCGATTGGAAAATACCGTGGGGTATGTACCTTCCCCCTCCCGTTCCATAGAAATCGGCCTCTCGTTACGAAAAAAAAAGAAAATTTTTCTTTTTCATACAGCTTCGCCCAAAAATTTCAAATATCTACTTAAATAATATTTAATATTATTAATACTTAATAATATTTAATATTATTGATACTTCATAATATTTAATATTTATTTTCCTTGTTTTCGCGCGCGTGTTTAAATGTACGTTTTCATGAACGTAAATAATTGGCTTGCGGAGATTATATTTAATTATAGCTCAAAATTCCATTACATTCTTGCGCATAATTTATCGCTCTTCGTGTTTCTCCCAGAAAACGTCAAAAAGTAATTTCCATGTTTAAATTTCCATTGCGATATTGTGTCAAACCGGTTGCGTCATGCGTATACGAAAATACACTAGTGACAAAGCGAGGACTGTACCGTGACTAACCGGCGGCTGTGCTCGCAATTCTACGTAAGCAAATTATGAAGAAATTCGCTGATTGCGGTTTAGTCGTATATTCTATTTGTCGGTTTCGTGCTCCAACTTGCCAACGATTTCACCGATTATGCCTTGCAAATGCGTTACGCGCAGTAAATGAATATTGATTATGAGGTCATAGAAATTAAACCTGATTAAGTTTATATATGATAATTGTTTAACCAAATATATATACATACATACGATGACAATTATTACTTGCAATGTTGCAATTATATTGTATTATTAAAATTTTACAGTTTATTTTTTATTATTTTGGTTTTTTAAATTTATATTTCTTCTTAATGTATGTATGTTTGCAACACGTCGAAAGTTTTTTTCTTGGCACTAATATACCAACGTATTATGAAAAAAGATTTGTTTATGTTATATGTTTATTGCTACGCAAGCTCTTTTTTGATGGATCCATCTGGATTGTGTAAAATGTCGAAATTGAAACTAGAACGAGAATTTAAATGGAAAGCTCCTAAATAAACAAATGACGAAGGAACTTGGCCGATATACTGATTTGTTATTGAGCATCGCCTAAAATACAATCTCGCAAACTCGCTAGAAGTAAAATCATATCGTTGTTTGTGCACGTGTAAAGTGTTCGCCATTCGTAGAAAAATACGTGACGAGAAATAAGCAAAGTCATCAATGCGAAACATGGATGTCACGAGTGACAAGTTAAAGGACGCGTGTTTGACATTGTCGAAGGTTGCGCAATCGAGATAAGAATGAGGCATATTCTATGTGTGCGTGTGTATTTCGTTCGACAATCGAGAAAATATGATCGATCTGTAATCGCCGTAAATCATAAGCAAGCAATAATAATAGGAAGTTCCTTTTACAAGGAACTTTTTTAGACTTGTCACATAAATCTAAAGAATTGTAAAGATCGTGAAGGTCAAGAAATGGCGTGATAAGGAAGAAATTGTGCGAGCTTGTCGAATTCCGCGATAACTGGAAGCTCTAAAGATAAAAAAAAAATTGTTTTACTGTCAATAATTACTTATATGATAAGAGATTATATAAGCGGTATTTAAAAAGAAATATATAAGAAGTAATATAAAATACATACAATAACAAGGAATTATTCGCGCACTTTTCCACATCTATTGTCTATTTTTCTACTTATTTTTTTTTCTTTTTTTTTCACATAAAATGATTGCAGAGAGTTAAGGATGTTTGTGTCATGTGTCAAAACATTGACAAAAGCATGAAAATTTCTCTTAACGGTTTGGAAATTATTTAAGTTTAAAGTTAGTATTGATTCTTATGGAAAATCGCGTACCGTAGCACTTATTGACAAATTTGACAAGGAAAAAACATCGCCAACGAAATAAAAATTTTCATATATATTAAGAAAGCTCTAATAAATATTTGTACAAAACTTGATTTAAATCCACTTGCTCATTTAAAAGTTATTTACTAAAAATTGTAGAAAAATATTATCTCCCTCTTTCTACAAATTATTCGTTTTTTTTGTTTCTTGCAGTTGATTTTAGGGAGTATTCATGATCAAAAGTTTTTGTCATAAATTAGGAAAAATATTAATTACAATTATTTTCTTTTACGAAGACATGAAAAACCATATTATTTTGTGATACTTTAATTCTTTTTATAATCCGGATTTATTTATTTAATTTTGCAAACAATATAAACGTAGAAAATGTTTTTTTTTTTTTTTTAATTTTAATAGTTTTTTGCTATTATTATACAGCCAAAACATCCTTACACTGCATTTAGCTTGCGATGATTAATGAAGATGTATTGAAAGAGAATCTATTAGCGCTTTGGAAAATGTCATCTATGTGTTAGCGACCTGCGTGAAGTTAGCACCCCATTTCTGAAATTTTAAAATTCTAAAGGTTGTTCCAGGTTGTTCTACACTTGTTCGTTAGCGGTCCCGTTAGAATATGATAAAACGTTGCAATCCCAACGGGTTGTCATGGCAATCTTCATTTCAGGAATATAATGTCACGCGACTTGATATGACGTTAACGTTTATCCTATCCAGAATACATTATTTCACGATTTTCTCTCTGTTGATATTGTTTTCCTAGACTCGTCG